GCTATTAAGCGTGATGTAAATATCGGACTATGCAAGATTGTATTGATGATACGTTCTTTTTTAGAAGTATCGCCTTGAACGTATTGTTCGTTAACGATATTTTTTATAAATCCACATTGACAATCCTATAATTATGTATTTAAACAGATGCAGTTATATATCATTCCTCCGTTAAACAGTGAGTTACGCAATCAGTATTTTATCTTGTGAGACGAAGGATAAATTCATTCTAATTAATAAGCGGTAACACTTGCATAACTGGGTGATGTAAGTAATTATTGACGCAACGTTAACGTCTTATGTATCTTACTTGTCAAATTCGATTCCCCTCAATTCCTAATTACGATCATCATTTATTTGCAATTAAACACTCCGTACGAAATAAAACATTTTTCTAAAGTTATTACGATCGTACAAATACAATCAAACTAGAAGATTTTTTTATCATAGATTATTATACCATAAAAATGACAAATACTGAAACGGTAATAAGTGTTCAGCGTGGAGTGAGACAATACGACAATTACGTTGTGGCCTTGCGAACCTCGCGATTCTCGTCGCGTGGCAAAAAAAATTAGAACGGGTAAACGATGGATCACTCGGTACGAACACTTATCCCCAACTTTCTCCGCCGCTTTCACCGGCCACCTCTCCTCGAACAATCGCGCGATAATCGCCGTACTATTATTTGTACTACGTAACGCGTTGCGCAAGCGGCGACTGCTGAAATCCTTTCACGAGCCGTCGTGACCATCGGACCCCGGGCCCGGTAGACGCGGAAAATCGAACGACATGTGCACCGGCATCGGCATGTGCGTGGGATCCGTCCCGAAGATTCGCCGTGGCACAATGACGAATCACGAGGCGCGATGATTTACGAGCGATCGGCCTGGCCCCGCCTCGAGATAAGATTAAGCGACGCTGATAAGATCGATTGATTCGTGGCTCGGCCGCGTCGCGGGTGAGGACACCTTGGCCTTGGCCGCGACAGTTCGCGTGGAGTTTCGGAACTGAGTGGAAAAATTCGCGGGCCCGCCTCTCCCGCTTCGTTCATCTGAGATTATAACGGAGGGAATTTTTTGTCGACGTTCCAGTTTACTTGAACGCTGTTGACGGAAAGTTTCTTGGTGCATTCCGTTGACGCTGGTCCTCGTGTTTAACCCTGGTCTCGTTTCGAGTTTCGACGGTAAGAGCGGACGAATTTTATCAGTACCAATGAAAAGCAGATGTACAATTTTATTCCGAGCAATTGTTATTATATCTCTTGCAATATGTTTTACGTACATCTAAAAATCAAGCTCGAAGTAGTTCAAGCGAAGCTGCTCGACATGCCTGTTCAAACATTTTAAGACTTGCATTAAAAAAAATTAGACGCTGGAGCAGCGGGTGAAATTGCTCGCGAAATCACGCTGAGAGGGAAAAAGATGCGGCGGTGCGGCCATTACCAGAAATACCTATTCTTCCCCAGACAAAAGAACAGCGAGCTCACTTCTGTCCGAATAAGAACGAAAAAGAAAGGCTCGCGGTCCGTAAGCGATTCCAGCGTCCGGAATCGCGAATGCCGATCGAGCCGCCCCTTATCTGCGTTATCGGGACGATTTATACCTTCCTATGGGCTCGTTTCTCAAATTTCGTCGGTGGCAACCCCTCTCTCTCCTCGTTGGCATGTCCTTCCCCCGAGACACGGGCCCCGATAAAGGAAGAAGGGTTGCGTTGCATTGTCACGTAAAGGTACACGTCGCGTTCCGAAGAAAAAATGCATCGGAGGAAGCTGAGCGAATAGATAAACCCCGCGTGGAACAGAGACGTGAGGATGCAACTCATTACGACAGCTGTCTTCGCTGTGGGAAAAATCTTCGGATACGCATCAACGAACCGCGTCGAACCACCGAAGATTGCGGGAGTTTCCCATTTTCACGGAACACGGACTGACGACGACGCTACGACGTTATCGCGTATCTAGCCCGACCGGTCTCTGCGACCGAGATAATCAATTTTCGTGAAAGTTTCGTGTCATGTACAAATCCAAACATATCCTTCTTTCTAATTAACGCGTACAAATTTGTTTAAATTTACAATAAATGTTAAATTGAACGTCGTTAAGAAACTAGATATTCAACTACGAAGTTAAACCCATTTTTACAAAATTGAGAAAAGACTGGTTTTCATATTTTTTGAGAAAAATTAATTGGGACTGTGAAATTAATTTCATTGCACGATTCCCCTTATAATCGTCCTGCTCCTCCTTCGCAGGCGCAGTTAATAAACACGAAATGCATGCGAGTAAGTAGATATTCCCGTGTCGGGTGAGTGATACTGAAATATGAACGGCAATCTTTCGCCGTTCCACTCTTTAATCTCGTTCCGCGTGAAAAATGTGTTTTATATATTTCACCGGATAATCACCCGAATTGTTAAAGGCTGAGCGCGTCGAGGATCGGGCGCGCGTAAGCGTGTCCCGAGTTCAGCCCGTCCGAGGGTCTCACAGCCTTGGAAGAACATATGGTCCACGGGCCGAGGGCATCGTTCATTGGCCGACACGTAGACTCGTAATCTCGCTATTTATCACAGGATGCGTGAGGGGCGGCGGGGAATAAGAAACGGCCGCACTTATTCCTTCTTTTTCTTCGCCTTCGTTTCTTTTTCCCCCGTTCCTCTCATTCTTCTCTATCGGGAGTTGCGCGCATCGGGAAAACGAGTTCCGAACGATACGGATCGTGCGTGATTACGTGTGATTATGCAGGTCGCTGGTAATGAGACGGCTCCATTTTCCGCGTGTCGCATGGTAAAAAGAGCTAGAACGGATTCTTACGAAAAAAAACAGAGACAGAGACGCTCGTATAAATTACTTACCAGTGCCATTTTTCATCCTTCCGCGAGGACGATCAGACGAACCGTGAAGCATTCCGCAGCACAATAAGTAAAGTTTCCATATTAAATCGCGGAGACCGTCGTTTCCCGTGATTCATTAGAGAAAATGGTATTCTCGTGGGAAACGATTGAATAAATAACTTTATACTAGACTCTCTAAACGCAAATGTAATAAATGGTCTTGTTTTCTATTTCTCGTCTGGTTCGTACTTAATTGGAACGCTATAATTCCGATGTTTTATTTTTATTAATCAAAGGAATCGGTGGTTCGTAATTAGACGATAGGATGAGGTAGAATGATTGAGGAGAAGGCAATAAAAGTATTCTCCTTTAGTCTGGATATTAATTATTTATTAATTAGCTAATATTCTGAAAACGTATGAACATTTGTACATGTGTTTTGTATCATGAGGTACTTGTGTATGGCATTCGTCGAATACGTAATTAACACAGTATATCAGACGTATACAGACACGCGGCACAGGACGTGTGCCTCTATACGAATCCCATACGTGCGCCTACATAAGTCGATCGTTTTCATTTTCCTTCCTTTCTATCGTTTTTACCTTTTCTCTTTTTTTTTTTTTTATTCTGCTTCATCTTACAATATTTCCCTTCGTCTCGTGGCGGCAGTGAGCTCCTTACGGGAGAACAATTACACGTTTTTACTTCTTTCTTATATAAATAAACCGACGGTAGAATCGGGCTAAGCACTTCGTTTCGACCATTTCTTTTTTAATCTGCGCACTGATCGATTTATCATCTTCGAATCGCGACTGGATGGCTTACGGTGACGTTCTCTGGCAACGAGCTGTATACCAAGTGTACACTTTATTATGTATATCGAAGCTTTGCACCACTTTCTACCTTGTTAAATTCTCTCCGACGCAGAACTCGATAATCGTGCGCGCAAAGATTCCACCTCGAGCTCGGATCACCTCCGCGATCCGAGTCGAGAAATGATACTTCGTATCCCTTATTATGGGTATGTCTATTATAGATTGAGTGTCCTTTTATGAAATTTCGCTACTCGCTCATGACACGTGAATTCTCACCGTGAAGAACACTTTGAGTACGTTGAAACTTTCTTTGAAATGATTTACTTTGCGCGCCGACGACCGGAGGACCGCTGTAGAAATTTGGAAACGCGGATACTTTTTTGTAGACCTCGATTGTCTGATCGGTTGCGCGTCGACGTTCAAAATTTTATCGAATGAGTCGACGAACTACGAACGCGAGACGATGAATCGCGGCCGCCACGCAGCTCGTTGATTGGCTTGCTTACCACTTACAATTAATATCCTAGAATTTAAATATATATATTTATATATATATAGATTCATTTATTTATATATTTATACCAAAAAACATTCGTTCACAACGAATTAGAAAACATAAAAATTTAGCTAGGAGACGCATAGTACAATATAGTGGACTACACCTAACATCGTTTTACTCTCGATTTATCTTCCGTTCCCTTATCTCCTCCCAGCTACTTCTCACCAACGTTTCCTCCTTCCT